CCTACGCTTTCAAGGCACCCGCTATTTTTCTTCCTGCAGTTCGCTATGTCCACGTCCACGAGTTGCCCTATTCCGGGGTGCCGAGACCAGGTCTCAGATGGCTACAGCACCACACCGGGGGGCACACTATATGCCACCACCCCGGGAGGTCAGCAGGCAGGGGTTTGTGCTCTGCGGGACGTATGGGGGTGGGGTGGGGTGGACCTTGGAATTGCTTCTGCGGGCTTCTCTCCAAGTTGTAGCATTTAGAGACTATTTGAAACTGTTTTACAAAAAAAGGAATGTAACATTGCTTTACAATTGGCTTCCTGGTGGTTCTGGGCAGTGATTCACTATGCCCCATACTAATAATGCTGCTACCCTTTAAACAGTTCATGTTGTAGTGATCCTTAACTATAAAATTACTTTCACTGCTACTTCATAACTTGTCATTTTGCTACTGTTATGGCTCATAATGTAAGCATCTGTGTTTTCCTATGGTCTTAGGCGATCCAACAGAAAGCCAAGTATTATGTAGTGGTGCAGCACTGGGTCATAAGCTGCTGGGCTGGCAAATAAACAGGTTTCCTGCTGTGTGGAATTAAAGGGAACAGCAAGAATAGGGCAGGGCTCTTTGAGGACACTGGCCATGTGCCCGTATCTGAAACTAGCCCTAAAGGACTTGGGGGGGGGGGGGCATGTTTTCCAAGGATTGCAACTCTCCCTTCCAAGAGGTATGAGAGCCCAAGAGGCTACACTGGTGAGAGGCTGGGCAGTTAGGTCTCACTACACCAAAGCAACAACTGTGAACTATAGACTAACAGCCTGAAGTACCTCAGTTTAAAGTGTGGTGTTCCTTCTCAAGAAGACCACCACTATCCTAGCCCAGAGCACCTATTTAGACTAGCTACAGTGTTCAACTTGCCTTAATGTTGCTTAGGCTGCTTGGGCGTGTCTTTTGTGGTGTGACCTGCCAGCTGAATCCTAGCTGGGCAGTAATGTGTTCAAATTCCTGTTTCTTAACTTCGGTCCTTACTCCTTCACAGGCACCAGGATCATCTACGACCGAAAGTTCCTGCTGCAGTGCAAGAACTCACCCATTGCCCGGACACCTCCCTGTTGCCTCCCTCAGATTCCCGGGGTCACAACTCGCCCAACAGTCCCACCCTCCAAGCTGGAGTTGCTGAAGGAACAGAAGCAGACAGAGGAAGAGATAACAGGTAAGAAAGTAGGGCTAGCCATTGTGAGGTAAAGTTGGGGTTCCACTCCAAGGAGTTCCTGTAGTAAGTGGGCTTACAAACACTTGAGACAAGTTAACTGCTCTTTTGACTTCTCTCCCCAGATGACGAACAATTTGAAATGGACATGTAATACAATGGAAGATGACCTGTGTGGAGTTACAGAAGGATCCCTTATGCCACTGTTGCCACCACCTCTTCTAGGGTATCCAAGGGCCAGCTGGCCTCATCTAATCTGGAAGAGTGAATTGTTGGTTCTGGACTTCCTTTAGTTCTGAGGCAGCTGGACCAGGGATAGCAGTGGGCACTTGCCAAGCCCTTAGCTTTCTCTGGTCTATACATGTTCCTCCCAAAACCCTGGCCCTCCCCTCAGGGCTGGCACTGGGGAACAGAGTATGTCACCTTCTGGCTGCTTAGTAAACATTCAACAAAATGCCTTGGCTCCAGTGTTCTCCTCAGTGTTCAACTCAGCCACACAGCTGAGGGACCCAGCAGCCCCGATTAAAAGGCCCTAAGTCTGTTCCCCTGCACTGGCCCACTTCCTGCAGCAATTAGGGCTTGAGGCAAGCTATGAGAGAAGGCTGCTGGGGTTGCCAGGCCATAAACAGCAACAGCATGAGCCTTGCCAAGGGTTGGCTGTTCCTGTCTTTCCAGGAAGCAAGGTCCCCCATCCCCAACCATTCATAAAGTGGACTCCTGGAAGAGATGCTGTTTCAGCTGACAGACGCCCCCAGTGTCTCCCCTGCCTTTTCTGCTTCCTATCTAAGTACCAATCCCCAGTTGAATCCTGGAAACCTGGTGTCTCTCTTCTCAGCATAACCACCAGTACGTTTTCTGGTTCCAGCTATTTCTTCTTTTTTAAAAAAGGTTAGAAACGATTGGTAGGAGGAGGCAGGGGAGATAGCTCAGGAGTTAAGAGCACTGGTTGCTCTTCCAGAGGTCTTGAGTTCAAGTCCCAGCAACTAAAAGTGCCTCACAACCTTACAATGAGATTTGATGTCCTCTTTGCCTGGGTACAGGCAAACATGCAGACAGAGCACTCACATAAGTAAATCTTTTTGAAAGAGGAAGACTGGCCTGGCAGAGGTGGCGCACACCTTTTACCCCAGCACTTAGAAGGCAGAGGCAGGCAGAACTCTTGAGTTCAAGGGCAGCCTGGTTTGCAGAGCAAGTTCAGGACAGTCAGGGCTACAAAATGAGGTAACAACCTTGCTTGATAAATCAGATAATCTTAACCTCAAATATCAGTAATCTAATCTTTGTTGTTGAAACATCATCTTAACATAGCTTAAGGCCTCAAACTCACTATGTAATTCATGATATCCTTGAACTCCTCTTCCTGCCTCCATGTCTCAAATGTTAGGACCATAGGTGTATGCTACTACATCCAACAGAAATGTTGAAATCCAGTCTTTTTGCCTTTAGTTTAAATAGCAGAAATCTCAATCACTGACTCTAGTAATAATACACCAAAGACACAGCAAAAGGAATGGTCTCTTCTGACAGGAAAATTTCTAGCTCTTTAAATCTATTCTCAGGCTGAAATGAAATTAACCAACAACAAAGAATGTGCTTTTCAGTCTAATTTTGAGAAAAGCAGGTAGCAATATGGCTATGCCCATCAAGGTCCTTCTTGATGAATGGCACAAGGAGTCATTGATATTCATGGAGCAGGGAAGCTGACACCAGAAAGAAGCAGCATCAGAATGGCTCATCTTTCCTACCCACTCCCCACCATTGAGATGTTTATTGAAATGTACATATTATGAGTAACAAGTGATCTTGCAGTGGCCCAGGTAGGATCTTTGGTCAGGCCCAACAGGATCAATAGTCTCCCTGGTGGTAATGGGAGCCAAGTGAGGAAAGGCCTTCCATACCAAAGCATAGAAGATCATTTGAGTGAGTCCAGGGAGACCCCAGGATTATGAAGACTATGGAAGCCCAGTACTGTCTGGTTCTCAGGTGTCACTGTAGATTTCTCTTCTTTGGCCTCCTCTGAAGACAGACTCCTCTTTTCTGCAATTAATCTTTTAACTCCCACCATCCACTGACTGACCTCAGTAACATGGTCAACCATAAGTGAGCGGTGAATGTCATCTGCTGCATCCCAGTGGTGGTGTAAAAGTTCTGAGGAGAAACAGGGCTTGAGCAAACAAATGGCAGTGTGAGTCATGTCTGCCATTCCTCCCTCCCCAGTCAGTGAAAACCTCTTCATCTGTCAGTTCAGCCATCAGTGGCAGGATAAAGGAACCCACCCATACCTTGCACTAGTAGCGCCATCCTCTTCTTTACAGGTATTGACAGCTTCCCTCCAGCCCACTGTTCCTGAAGCAGTGCCAAGCGGCGGCTGATATCATCATATACCTGTTTCTGAGACAGAAACCCGTCCAACTCAGGGCTACCAGTATGAGCTTTCTCAAACTCAATTTTGACTCTTGGTCATTAGAGTTCATATCCTACCCAAAGGCTAGAGTGTTGTTCACACACACACACACACACATACACACGCACGCACGCACGCACGCACACGCGATGGCTATGATGAAATCTATGGATCTCCTCCAATGTCAAAAGACACACATGACAAGAATTTTAAATTTTCAGTGCCTTCTCAGCTCCTCAGAGGATTTTTTTTTTTTTTAAGATTTTTATTTATTATGTATACAGTATTCTGGCTGCATGTATGCCTGCAGGCCAGAAGAGGACACCAAATCTCATTATAGATGGTTGTGAGCCACAATGTGGTTGCTGGGAATTGAACTGAAGGATCTCTAGAAGAGGAGCCAGTGCTCTTAACCTCTGAGCCATCTCTCCAGCCTCCAGAGACTCATCTTAATGTTACTGTTCAAATAAGGAAAACCTGGCCAAAAGTGGGACTACCGTGCTGTGTCATCCCCTTTCTTCAATCCTTTGCATCCAGAGAACTGAAGATAACTTCATACAAAGCTTGTCTCTCTCTCCCATACCGAGTACACTCTGAATGGCCTCAATTTACAAAAATAAATAAGCTTATAATTCACTAATGGGAGTTCAATACAATTCATTCCGACAAATCCTCTTACTGACTGGTCCTTAAAAGTCCTGAGAATCCCTCACATCAGTGTCCGTTTTCCTGGAAAGACTGAGAGATTCCTTAAGGCCCATCAGAAGCTCTGTCTTTAAGAACCATACTTGATTGGATAGAAGTCCTTTCCATGCCTTAAAGTGCCAGAACCTACCTTTGTGTGGCCACGGCAATCCTCCAATGCCTGTTCCAGAGGTCTCAGCACATCTTCCATCAGAGCCTCAGACTCAGGGACTGGGGAACTTGGGGGCTCCACACCAGTAGCAGGACAAGTTCCCATAGGTGGAGGCCTGGAAGCCTTACTTGAAGGAGGTGGATGACCCACTGAAGGTGGTCCAGAAGTTTCTGAAGTTGGGGCTGAAATATTCAAACTGGATCAAGCAACAAGGCTTAGTACCCTCCACTGAGTATTTTATTCCCATCTCCCCATTTCTCTTTTACTTTGTTCACAATATTTCATCAACTACAAAGTCTGGTCACAGCTCCTCAATTCTAGCTCAACTCTTGCTTCCTACTGCCCCATTTCATTGGTTAAACCAAAACATGTAGGAAACCAGACTCAGTTTCTCTACAAGAACAACAAGTACTCTTAACCACTGAGCCATTTCTCCAGTCCCCCATTAGAATGTAACCCTTTTCATGGACAGATTTTAAGGGGTACAGAAAACTGCATTTCTCTACTCTTCAAAAAATAAGCATTTTCATATCTCTAAACTTCACGTTCTGTAAATACTTTCTTTTTTATTTTTGGTTATGCCTCTTACTTCACTGATAAAGTCATCAAATGAGATTTTTTGCTGTTGTTGTTTGAGATAGGGCTTCACTCTAGCCCAGAGTGGCTTCAAACTTCTGGCACTCTTCCTGCCTCAGCTTTTTGACTACTGAGACCACAGGCATACACTACCATGCCCAGCTCAGGAACTCTCTCTTTTAATCTACCTGCCACCCATTGTGGCCACATTCCTTCCTCAGAAGGTGCTTGCTCCTATTAAAAGGACATCTCTTAGGGCTGGAAAAATGGCTCAACGATTAAAAAGGCATCTCTCTACTCATATTTCGCAGTCCAGACCTATGTCTTTTGGCCTTCCTCCTATGATTATTTCTTTTCTCCCTTATGATCAGTTCTTGGCTTTTGCTCTTTCATCCCATGAATGTACAAATGGGCTGTACTATTTACTATCAAAACCCCTTCACTTTATTTTTTTAGACAAGGTCTGAAAAATCCACACCCTCTCCACAGGGGATGATCAAGTTCACTACATCAAATCAAATATAGCACCCCACCTCCAATCCTATATCTTCCAACATTTAACTAAAAAAAAGGTCTTTTGAAGCACTCCGGTTTCTGAACCAGGCAAAGTTGTTCTCATCTCAGAGAATTTGCACTTACCTGTTCCTTGTGCTTAAAATGCTTTTGCATCTTTTAGTGCCTCTTAGTCACATTTCCATGTTACTTAAATAGCGCCCCCAGACACCTTAGTTACTTGGAAACTAAGAACTGTTCTCTCCAGATTCCCTACCAACTCAAACCGTTCCTGGGTCTTGTTTGACAAGTGCTCAGTAAATACCAATTAAACGAGTAAGTAACATAAAGTCTGAGATGCTTATAACACAAAGACCATAGGATCCTGGGAAGAGATCTAGGCAGGAAACATTTGGAAACAGTCTGAATGAGCATAATCCTTTTGTCCAACACACCATTTACTGACCAGGAATGCAGAAAGAACGGGCTCGAAAAGCGCCTGCGCTGAGCCTTACTGGATTCCAACCCCTCTCCTAATCGAGTCCTTGGAAGAGGAAAACAGGCTGATGGGACAGGTTTATCCCAGACTATCTCTCCGTACAGGATTCCGCCCACGGCCCTTACTCACCTCTAGGGGATCCATCCTGCGGGGCCGCGACCCTCTTAGTAAGGGGTGTGCGTTTGGGTCCACCAGTCTGAGTCTGCAGCCCATAAGAGAACTGCGGAGGGTCGTTCCAGCCGCGTTCTTTGTTGCCTGCGAAGGCAAGGAAGTGTGTGAAACGAGACCGGGAACCCAACCGAAGTTACTCTGGGGTCTGGGGTGGAGGGGAGTCAGAGTTCCCCCAACCGCCCACCCGCAGCGCTCACCCGGCTTCACATAGAGCTCCGCCATCTCCACTTCCGCACCGCCAGCGGGGCAGCGCGTCATTTCCGGGGCGGTAGCTCACTCACTCAGTCCAGCTGCCTGGTGGTATAGGAGGAGCTGCCCAGAGAGCCAGGCACCAATTCTTTAGGGACAACTGGCTAATAATCTGGAGGCCTTGTCACGCGGCACCAAACAGGTAGGTTTTTCTAATGTCTCCTAGTTTGCCCCCAGGAACAAATTCAAACACCAGAAGCACCCGCTGAA